AGGTGGGCGGTAAGGAGCGAGGGGTCCCAGACTGTGAGAGGGCACAGGCCCAGCTGAGGGACATTCCCCCAACCCCCAGTGCATGAATTTCATACACCGGGCCTCTAGTATATACATAGTATGAAGTAGAATTGTTGGATCATTTGATAGTTTCATTTTTAATATTTTGAAGAACCTCTATACTGTTTTCCATAGTGGTTGCACAAATTTACATTTCTACCAAGGGTTTCCTTTTCTCCACACCCTCACCGACACTTTATTTTTTGTCTTTTTTATAATAACCATTTAGCCCTAGCCAGTTTGAGTCAGTGGTTAGAGCATTGGCCTGTGGACTGAAGGGCCATGAATTTTATTCTGGTCACGGGCACAGGCACATACCTTGGCCTGGTTTGTCACGGGAGGCAACCAATCAATGTGTCTCTCTCACATTGATGTGTTTTTCTCTCTGTCTCTCTCCCTCCCTTCCACTCTCTCTAAAAATCAATGGGAGAAATGTATAAGGATTCCAATGACTCTACATTGTCCCCACCTCTTATTTATCTGCCTTTTTTATTATAACCATCCTGCCAATGTGAGGTGGTATATCATTGTGGTTTTGATGAGAATGACTATCAAATGACTAATGATGTTGAGCACCTTTTCATGTGCTTATTGACCATTTGTATGTCTTCTTTGGAAATATGTCTATTCAGATCTTCTGCCCATTTTTTTTAACTTGGATTGTTTGTTTGTTTGCCATTGAGTTGTAAGAATTCTTTATATATTTTGCTTATTAGCCCCCTATCAGATATATGAGTTGCAAATATCTTCTCCCATCAGATGCAGTTAGGTTTATGTTTGAATTTTCTATTTTGTTTTATTGATTTATGTACTCATGTGCCAATACCATCTTGTTATTATATTGGCTTTATAATGTCTTATTAACTGGTAGGGCTCGCCTCTGCACATTTTCTTCTTTTTCAGGGCTTTCCCAGATATTCTTGTTCATGTATCCTTTTAAATGAACTTTGTAATAAAATTGTCTTAACTCCAAGGCTCCCTCTTCTGTTGGTTTTTCAAAGTGTTAAAAAATATGGCCTTGTATTATTATTTTTTGGGGCAGTTTTGCACCTTTTTTTATATTAGACTCAAAGGAGAAGACATAAGGGGGTTACATGAAATTCATTGGTGATAAATTAGGGGGGGGGTTGATGAGGAAAATCTCTGGGATGGGATAAAAAGTTAAAAAAATAGACACAAACTTCTTTTTTAGATGTTATCCAATAGTTAACAGTTAATATTTAACACAACAACAATAATAATTGGGGCGCTCTGGTCTTCTGTGCTTGGAGATTGTGCCCTTAGAAGTCTGTAAAAAGGAAATTTACTGTTAAAAAAAATATGGCCTTGTATTATTATTTTTTGGGGCAGTTTTGCACCTTTTTTTACATTAGACTCAAAGGAGAAGACATAAGGGGGTTACATGAAATTCATTGGTGATAAATTAGGGGGGGCTGATGAGGAAAATCTCTGGGATGGGATAAAAAGTTAAAAAAATAGACACAAACTTCTTTTTTAGATGTTATCCAATAGTTAACAGTTAATATTTAACACAACAACAATAATAATTGGGGCGCTCTGGTCTTCTGTGCTTGGAGATTGTGCCCTTAGAAGTCTGTAAAAAGGAAATTTACCTGAAAATCCAAAGGTATGTTATCCTAGATGCAAAAAGACAATACGACAGGCTCAATAAGTTTGACCTCTGCAAAAAGAAACAACAAACCACACACACACACACACACACAAAACAAAAAACCCACAAACAAGGCTAGGATATAACTAACACTGTGACTTGCTTTTACTTTTAACTTCAAACCATCCGATAGGGTTCTTTTGGCCTCTGAGTTTGTAAGGTATGACCTTGTATTTTTTGACTCCATCCTCCTCTGTTCCGTAACCCCACTTTTGTCTAGACCTTCTCTTTCTTTTCCCCCTAATAGCCTTCTTCTGGATAATTTGAATCCTCCTTTTAGAAGCTTTCTCTCAGAGAAAGCATTTTCTATATTTCATGTAGCATTGTTTTGAAATCACTAATTCAGTTGCTGAGTAGGTATGGGATTTTGGTAAAACTATCCTCATATTTTTTCATCTATACATTGTAAATGAAAAATAATCTATTTCATAGGTTTTGTGGGTTTTTTTCTGTTTTATTTTGTTCTTTACAGCTACAAATAATTGCCTCAGTCCTACCTATCAGCAGAATTTGACTAATTTAATCACTCCCCTAAAACACATTCTTCAACTGATGTCTATGACATCACATTCACCCATTGTTTTCCCTAAACAACTTGCCTCTCTTGCCCCACTCTTTCGGTGTTTCCTCCTTATCGCCTAAATGTTGGAGAAACTTAGAAGTCAGATTTCACACCTTTCTCATTTAAACTCACTCCTTAAGTGAGTTTATACAATCCTATAAATGTAAATATCACAACTCCCCAATTTTATGTCTCCAGCCCGGGCCTCTACTATGTACTCAAAATGTGTACATCTAACGGCTTCCCTATCAACTCCCTCTGATGCCCCAAAGGTATCTCCATCGTAACTTACTCCTAAACAACTCTAATGTTCTTCCCCAAACCTGTTTCTCCTGTAGTCTTCCCAATCTTAGTCAATGACAATTCTGTTCGGACTGGCGGGAGTGACTCCGACAGCTGGGCTGCTCTCTCCAAGGTCTATCTCAGGCTTCTTCAGATCCTGGCTTCTTCGTGATTCCTGGAGGGCAAGTTCCAACACACAAGCCCTTCTTACATCTCTTCTTGATTCACACTTTGTAATGTATTCATCTGACTTCAGTGTCTTTACCATTGGAGGAAGTTAAATACTGAAGAACCCGCCCTTGCACATACCTATGTATGGTGAAACGACTGTGCTGGGCAGAGCTGCCGCGAGGTTTCCCACAGTATGGCAGTTACTTACTCGTTCGTAATCGACAAACTTCAGCCAAGCTTCGGTTAGTTGGCATTTTGTGAGGCCTGTTGACGTGACCACAGCACTCGGCGTTTCCTCCCCAGTGACAGGATGATTCCTCAGCTATTTCTGTCTGTGTCAACATTCCTTTCCAACCCAAATTTCCTCAGGATTTGCTTTCAGGTCTCTTTTTGTAGCTAAAGCCACAAATGTTCCCAGCTTTGGAGATTAGAAGTACTGTCCCTATTCCTTTAGGATTTTCCAGTGTTTTGCAACTGGTACTTTTCCAGACCTTTTCATTCTTTGATTGGTTCTGTTTCTTAAATTTTCTAATCCTTTCACACAAGTTCTCTTTCTTAATCCCTTTCTTTGCTTTCCTTGGATTCCTTTGATGTCCTTTTTCTAACTATGCGAACTGAATGTTTAATTCATTTATTTTCGTTCTTTCTAGGTAATGAATATGCATGAGCTATTAAATTTCTTTCTAAGTACGGCACTGTCTACCTATTAAATCCATTCACCCAGCTCAGATTCACCAGGGAGCAATCTTTCCTTTTACCATTCCTCTCTGAAATAATTTTTGTCTTTGAAAGTAGCACTCTTGGGCTACTCATTCAGCAACCTCTGCGGAGTATGGCACTGTGTTCTGCCTTAGCATAGTGTCCTGGCACAATTAGGTGATGATAGTGATGAATAGCCTTTATTGAGCCGTTACACTCTAGCTGACATTATACCGTATACACATTTTAACAACTCAATACTAACCTTCCATGGCCTTTTCACAGAGGAAATACGTACTGGACGTTTGTCCTGTGCTTCTATTCCTGAAACATGCCAAACCTTCCGTTTTAGGGCCTTTTCCCTTTACCTGTGTTGCTGTCCTTCCATCTTCTAATTGAGTACTCAGAGCAAATGCCATTTCTTCAAAGCCTGGGATGGATCTAAAACAGCCTCCCTCCACACTTTCACACATTTATTTTGTTCGTAGCAGTAACTCATATTCTCTTGCTCATTTATTCTTTTCCTTGTTATGATCTGCTTGCCTCCCCCACTAGACTTTAAACTCCAAGGAGCAGAAGTTTTGTCTCGTGCACCACAACATTTCCAAGGCCCTTAGAACAATATCTGGCACAAAATAATCACTGAGTAAATATTTGTGGAATCAACGCATTGCCAAAGGCAAATAATAGACAGACCCTGAGCGGCAGCCAGTACTTTTGAGCTGTGTTGAGTAAGCGTAGCAGCTACTTTTGAATCTGAAGGTGTGAAAGTGTGACTTCTATGAAAAGCACTCCTCAATAGATGTGTGGCTTCAGGCGCCTCACTCCATTTCAAATGCCTTTCCTTACAGTGAGAGGAGCAAGGCCCTTTTCATCTATTTGGGATTCTACACAGAAAAACGTACCTTAAACACCTGGGCGAGCAAGAGAGGAGTTGCAGGTGCTTTTAAGGTAGCTCAGCAGCAAAGAAGGGGGAGAGGGAGGGCAGAGGAGTGGAGCAGAGTGCCCTGTAGGGTAAGGAGCAGGGGAGAGTCCGGTGCCTCCGAGGGCGGAGGGGTACGGGTGGTGGTGAGTGAGGCAGACACCGAGGTTGGGAGAAGGGGGCGCAGGGAAGGCACG